TATTTTTATTTTTTAATTTATGTGAAGAATTAGGCTCTACAATATTTATTCAGCAAGTTTTGTGAAAATATTGATGGAATCAGGATGGAATATTCTAATCTTATTAATGTCTTTACGTGCATCACATGTAAATTTTTGAATTCTAATATGTATACTAACTTCTTATAGGGTAATAAAATTCTTGAACAATACGAATCAGTATTTCTTATATTCTTTTTCGATTCATTGGCACGTAGAATCAATGTAAGTTATATCATTTTTACGAGGGAAAAATCAGAGGATTAATGCTGCATTAATGGTTCATCTTGGTAAACAAGTTCAAAGATACGTATAGTTTATAACAAAAATGAATCTTACCAAATAAATAGCGAAAATGAAAGATCCATGTTATTCTCTAATTTTGAAAATACAATTATTTTCATCATTTTCTAACGTAACATATCTTTTCGTATAAATAATAGCTATAGAAATATTTTATAAAAATTTTAGTACAAAATAAAACATCCGTGTTTCGTGTATATAGTAGTATCTATATATGTAAATTTCCATCTGTAAAATTAAATGTAAGATGACAGCAAATATATTTCATTAAATCTTTAATGCTTTTGGCGCAAGGAAGTCAGAAACCAAAACGTCTGAAACCGCCTGTGCAATTCTCATAGTTATTCTCTCTAATCAACACAACTATATAACCCCATCTAATAATATCATTTTATTATTCATCATCATCATCAAAATAAAACAAGTTTCACATTCTTCATAAAGCATTCCATTCCAATGGACACCAAAATAGGATCCATCGACACGTGTAAGCCAACAACTGGCGACGTCGGAAGTCCCCCAAGCAACGCCGTCGCAACAATCCAAGACTCCGCTCCCACCACCGCAACCTCTCTTGACTCCTCCGAAGCGACTCTCGGACGTCACTTAGCCCGCCGTCTTGTCCAAGCCGGAGTCACCGACATTTTCTCTGTTCCCGGTGATTTTAACCTAACTCTTCTTGACCACCTCATCGCCGAACCAGAGCTCAACAACATCGGATGCTGCAACGAGCTTAACGCCGGTTACGCCGCCGATGGTTACGCTCGATCTCGTGGAGTCGGTGCTTGCGTCGTGACCTTCACCGTTGGTGGACTCAGCGTTTTGAACGCGATCGCAGGTGCATACAGTGAGAATCTGCCAGTGATCTGTATCGTCGGAGGTCCTAACTCCAATGACTTTGGCACAAACCGGATTCTTCATCACACCATTGGTTTACCTGATTTTAGCCAAGAGCTTAGGTGTTTCCAGACTGTTACTTGCTATCAGGTAAAATCCAATCTTGATCATCACATATCTCCTTTGTTAGATTTTGACTATGTGTTTGTTTTCAGGCTGTGGTGAACAATTTGGAGGATGCTCATGAACAGATCGACAAGGCGATATCAACAGCTTTGAAAGAGAGCAAGCCTGTGTACATTAGCATCAGCTGTAACTTAGCTGCGACTCCTCATCCTACATTTGCTCGTGATCCTGTCCCTTTTGCCCTAACTCCAAGGTGATCATTCAAGCATACTCAAAAAAGATGGGTTTGTTTTAGATTTCTCACAAATGTTTGGATTGTTTATTAGGATGAGCAACAAGATGGGTTTAGAAGCTGCGGTGGAAGCAACATTGGAGTTTCTGAACAAGGCAGTGAAGCCAGTTATGGTTGGTGGTCCAAAGTTGCGTGTGGCTAAAGCAAGTGATGCCTTTGTGGAGCTAGCTGATGCTTCAGGCTACCCTCTCGCGGTGATGCCTTCGGCAAAAGGCTTTGTACCAGAGAACCATCCTCACTTCATTGGTACTTACTGGGGAGCAGTGAGCACTCCGTTCTGCTCTGAGATTGTCGAATCTGCAGATGCTTACATTTTCGCAGGTCCAATATTCAACGACTACAGCTCCGTGGGTTACTCACTTCTCCTCAAGAAAGAAAAAGCCATCATTGTGCATCCTGACCGCGTCGTTGTGGCTAATGGTCCTACGTTTGGTTGCGTTCTGATGAGCGATTTCTTTAGGGAATTGGCTAAGAGGGTGAAGCGTAACGAGACCGCTTATGAGAACTACCATAGGATCTTTGTCCCTGAAGGTAAGCCATTGAAATGCAAACCTAGGGAACCTTTGAGAGTCAACGCAATGTTCCAACACATTCAGAAGATGCTCTCTAGTGAAACCGCTGTGATTGCTGAAACTGGTGATTCTTGGTTCAATTGCCAGAAGCTAAAGCTGCCTAAAGGATGTGGGTACGTATCTAGAGAAAGAAACTGAATCTTTTACATTTTAACATTGTGAAAATGGTGAAACAAACACAAGTTTTGAAAAAAGTTGTTCACTTTATTGTAGGTATGAGTTTCAGATGCAGTATGGATCAATTGGCTGGTCTGTTGGTGCGACTTTAGGATATGCACAGGCATCACCAGAGAAGAGAGTGTTGTCTTTCATCGGAGACGGGAGTTTCCAAGTGACTGCTCAGGACATATCTACGATGATTCGTAACGGACAGAAGACGATCATCTTCTTGATTAACAACGGTGGCTACACCATAGAAGTGGAGATTCATGATGGTCCTTACAATGTGATCAAGAACTGGAACTACACTGGTCTTGTCGATGCTATTCATAACGGTGAAGGCAAATGCTGGACCACAAAGGTAATTAATGATTAGTGTTGGAAACTAAACATATGAATTTTTGGTTTAAGTAACATTAATTATATTATGAATGTTGTGTGTTTGGTAGGTGAGATACGAGGAGGAGTTAGTGGAAGCGATTAAGACCGCGACATTGGAGAAGAAAGATAGTCTTTGTTTCATTGAAGTGATTGTTCACAAAGATGATACGAGCAAAGAGTTGCTTGAGTGGGGCTCTCGCGTCGCTGCTGCTAATGGTCGTCCTCCCAATCCCCAGTAGAAGCAAGAGAACCGAATCTTGAGTGTGGCTCAACCATCTGTCGTTTCTTTCCAATTGAATTTTTTATTTCCTCTGTTTTAAGTACTCTGATTTATTTTCCTACTGGCTTCGAATTTTCGACCGTTGGTTTTAATTGCTTTTAGACCTCTCCGGTTAGTACCATTGATGGTGAAATAAAATTTCTTTTTCCATGATAAACTTCAATATTTGTGCTTGTTCTTAAATCTACATATACATTTTTATAGTACATTTTTGTTTTAATTCTTTTGGATCCGGGTTTGACCCGGTTTTAGTTTATTCGGATCTTGGATAAGCAATTTTAGAGATGTTGTCTTAATTTCAAACTGATAAATGAAGTCATGTTATCTTTAATTCATCTACATATTCTTATACTATTTCCATATTAATCATCTCCGAATACTTAGCATTTACCATTCGCAGAATTCAGTTTGTTATTATTACCTAAACTAATTGCCACATTAATCGTAACTTAATAACTTTATTCTCTAATTGATTTCGAATATATTCACAATCTAAACTAATTAATATCACATATCTTATCTCATATATTGTTCCTTTAAATTCTACTATACAATCTTTTAAACAATTCAAAGAAAGAGTGGTTGGATTAAAATCCAAACTAAAAACAAAACAAAATCACAAAAATCATTTTAAATCTTTTCATATTAACTTTACATAAAACACTAACATTTCTTTTTAACAGATCAATTAGCAATAATCACATTGATCTTAATTCATTAATTATTTGCCTAAACAACTAACTGAATTTTATACAACTGTTATAAAAATTTTAGGAAAAATTAATCACTTACTATAAATACATTTTAAAAACGTTTAATGCTCAAATCTTTAGTTAAGATTTTGGAAAGAATAATAATTTGAAAATCAATTTCTACTTAGTTTAGCAAATAATTTATTTTTATTCATTGACATAAATATAGATTACTTAAAATAGATCGTAACAATATTTAATTTGATTTGTTTATTTAATTTCACCCATATAATTCTTAATTTAATTTGTTTATTTTTTCTTGCAGGAAAGTAGAAGTTTATAGCAATCCTTTTTTGATTTGATCTCATTTTTACTACTTAAGCAAGGATCAACAATAGGAATGTTTTAAAAACAAAATATATATGTAATTTGATCACATTTATATAATAATTTTATGAATTTACTTAGAAAAAGTTTAACTTTATTAAACGTTTTAAATATGTATAATATTAAAACTTTTATGAAGTTTCAATATTATAATTATTTGAATTTTATAAGAATTTATAAAAAGTTTAAATATTATAAATATTTATAAAAGATATTAATACAGGACAGTATACTACGGGTGAAATCCTAAATATAACAATCAAAATACAATTATGAAGTTTGGGTCGATATTAAAACTTTTATGAAGTTTCAACTATTATAAATATTTGAACTTTATACGAATTTATAAGAAGTTTAAATATTATAAATATTTATAAAAAATATTAATACGAGACGGTATACTACGGGTGAAATCCTAAATATAACAATCAAAATATAATTATGAAGTTTGGGTTGATATTAAAACTTTTATGAAGTTTCAAGTATTATAAATATTTGAACTTTATAATAAAATGACAAAATGACGTTTAATTTCACGGGACAGAGTTATATGATGAGACGGGTTTTGGTCGATATTAATATGAGATGATATACTACGGGTAAAATCCTAGAATTAACAATCTAAATACAATTATACAATCTTAAACACTAAACAAAACAAGACAAACAATATTAATAAAATAAATACAATTTAAAATTTCTAATTATTAGTTATAAAATATTGTCCCAAGGTGTACTATACAGTAGCATATATTTATAGATCATCTTAAAAAAATATTCAATTTTTTTATTTAATAACAATATAGACCCGCGGTGTACCGCGGGTTAACATCTAGTGTAAAGTCATTTGACATTTAAAAACCTATTTGAGTTTTTTTTTTTTTTTTTTTTCAATTTTTAACTGTCTTCTTGCCATATATCTCAAGAACAATCAAAAACTTAATAACCAGAAAAACAAAAACCTAATTCGATTGAGAATAGGCGATGCATCGTGGTAAAAGTCTTGTAGAGATTTTTCCATCTCTCACCCGTTCAAATTAGATTTTCATAATTCTTAAAACCAAAAAATATAATCTCTAACCGAAATAGAACCAGTCGTTATACGTAGCTAAGTCACTGCCTCACTGGTCGAGCCACAAGGCGATTGTTTTGGAGTAGATGGTCAGGAAACTGAGAACGACAGTTTCTAACATGTGATTTGAGTTTGGGAATATTTGGGTGTGCGCTTCTACACCGATTGCAACGCAGCTCACCTTTCAACAGATCTTCGCTCGCCACATTGGCCTTGCCTTGGCTCTTGACCTCTTCAAGTACATCAACTGAGTCACGAAAGAACGAGGATGTGAAAGAGTTCCAGTGTTTCTTGTTCTTCAAACTATCTGAATCAAAGTCTTGGCTTATAACGTGTAAATGTAGTTGTCGCATCGACGGAACCTGAAAGACAAAACTCAATGTATGTTAAACATACCAATTTCAATGATTTTGCTACTGAACTCTTAGCTTTAAGCTCTAAAACGAGTAACAGAAAGTGCACATCCGAAGTTTAAACTCAGGGGAAACAGAAAATTCATTAGTGCTCTGAATGTAAAGGCTGACTTAAGTACCGAGTGATATCCAAGGCGGAAGATAAGAGATGCATCCTCGTTCTGGAATCTATCTACCCATTTCAGACCAACATTGTGCATTTCCTGCAGAAGTTGAAGATTCTCTTTGCGAACATCTTCTAGCCCATCTAGACTCTCCTGTCTCGCCAGTACTAGCACGTGTTTCCGCGCCTAAACCCAATTGATAAATCTTGTTTGTCATCTGTCTCACAGAAGAAAGATATTATATTTATAAATCAGCATCAACACCTTTACCTTTGGGTACTGGTCGTTTATCACAACGATGTTGTCTGAAAATTCTAGCACGACATTCTCGTGTCTCTCTGGGTGCATCGCGATGCTGTGGAGAGCCAATGCCCATGTGCTCCACCCTTTACTCATCTTCTTTCCACTGTCTCTTGTATCCTCCAGAGACCCTGATTCCAAATTATTAGTTACGGCCTTATCTTGTGATCCTTTGTACTTTTTGTTTCTCTCAGAGTCTTCCTTAATATCCTCACCAGAATCTGACAACGCTGTTTGATTGCTTCGTTTAGGCAACTTTGATTGATCCTGTACTACTGATAGAAAACCTTCAAATAGAGATGTGTAAGCCTCCCGGAGAGTTTTGCACCCCTTGGTGTAGTCGTTGTTAAGGTTGTCTGGTCGGTTTGGGTTCATGTTTGGTCCTAGAACATGTATGACATGTGTAATTCCTTCTGCATTGTGTAATGGACAAGTAGAAGGAAGAGGAACTACCGCGGCTTTTCCAGGAAGAAGAGTGTTTGCTCGTACTCTTGTCGCAGCCTCAAGATCTGGACCAGCAGCTTTGAATATTGCTGCATTCACACCTCCACCTCCAGGTTTAAGCCGCCTGCACATTTAGCTTACAAAATTAGCTATCCAGACTCCAGTGAAGATGTATATACTTAATTTTAGTCGATAAGTTGGTTCATTTTACTGAAGAGCAAGAAAAATATGGAACCTTACCAGTTAGTAGCATTAGCTATAACATTGCAGTGTAGACCACCTTCGGAACGAAGCTTAGTTATGTCCCCGACAAATGTGAAGAATCTCGCTGAGTCAATGTTCTTCTGAGCAGCCTTAGCTTTGACCAGAGACAGAATCTTTGACCCTTGGCTCAAGTCTACCAAGACAAGACGTGCAGTCCCAAGTTTAGGCAAGAATTCCTCTGCTTTCTCGACAATGATATCAGATGCCTTTTCAAGATCAAACTGAAAATCCGCAGTCGAAATGGATGGGAAAGCCAGTGTAGGAACAATATCAGCAGAACCAAGCTTGGCTGGCGAAACTCTAACATTTCTAGTCTTTTCATTATCGTTTTGTGTTGCGTTAGCAGCTTCATTAGAAGATGAACCAGGCAGAGCATTGACTTTCTTAAAGAACTTCATTATACCGGGTTGGCTTTTAGTGTCTGATTTTTTTTCGCCAAAACAGCCAGAAGGAAGATTATCCATTGGACCAAGCTTGTTGTATGTGTTACTAGCATTTTCAACATCCGCGTCGTTGTAACAAAACATAATCCGAGAAAACCCTTCATTCACCTTCGGAAGTTCCTTACTCTGAAGCATCTTATTCACAACAGCTGCAGCTCGTCCCCCTTGTAGATTTCCTTCATGACCAGTTCTTTTGACTGATCTAGATATACAAACCTGAGCAGAAAGCTCCAGAACCACTGCATGAACTTCAATGCCAGGACCACCGAGCTTAATAAACTCCGAGCGTTGCTCCCTGTCAAGATTGCATCTGTCTATAAAGACGCTCTTTCCTTCCCTAAGGGATTCTGTTGCCATCTTTAAACACTGAGCCTTTGTTCCAGCTTTCCCATTGTTAATAATGTCCTGAAATAAGTTAGAAACAAATTAAATCTAAGCCAACACAAAAATCTTAAATTGATAGCAACCAAATTTCTTATGAGAACCACCATGCTCTAATGGTAAAGATTTGTTCTGTGAGTAGAGGTAGCAGAAAGTTTTGTAATTTAATAAGTTCATCCAATAATCTAAAGAGAACTAGATTCTCACTTCAGGTCAGCATACGAAAAACTCTCACCAACCCAAATACTTTAGTCTCGTTGAGGAATTTCATCAGTCAGCTTGTGTGCAATATAAAACAATCGATAGATAGTGAGAAAAAAAGAGAGACCTGGCAGATACGAGACCAAGGGCGGTGAGAGGAACGCATTACAGTGTCACAAAACGTCGATTTGCAGCTTCCTGGCGGACCAATCAGAAGAACCACTATCTGCTTCGCTTTCTCTGTTCCAATTTCAGCCATTTTCGCCGTATAATCATTAGAAAAGCTTTACTTTTTTAAACAATACGGAAATTGAAGGTGAATTGATTCAGGAAAGGTTTGATTTTTACCAGATTCTTCAATTTTCACTTCCATTTTCTCTCGGTGATCGGAGTCGTTGATCGGAGAACCAGTTTCTCTGTTTCTCCAATTTCTCGTGTGACACGCGTGTGTTTGGAATACGTGGCGTCTTCGCACAATTGAAACGACGTGTTGTTTCCCAATTGAAAACAAAAACGCTTGTTTGTATTTTTTTGTGTTAAGGTAATGAAAAAAGGTAGTGTAAGAAAATGTTGACATGTTTTAGATTTTTTGTATTTTTTTGTATTCACCCAAAAAAAAATTGCAGCCTACCAAAAAAAAAAAAAAAAATGCAGCCTGGATTCATAATATTTACTTGCCTAAAAAAACTCAAAAACGATAATTCTATATCTACTTAAGTCCATAATATAGTACGCCTGGATTCACTAATTTCCCACAATTTGTATATATATAGTTATATACCCTCATTTTTCGTGTTTCCAAATGATTCATATGTGATATGTCGATACAAATGACATGATGCCAATTGATATTAAGATTAATTGATTTGACGAGAGTTCTAAGAAATGAGAAAGAAAGAAAAAAAAACATTACAGAAAGTCGTTCTTATTTTTAAATGCATCCAGACAATACTAGGTTATTTTTAAATCCAGACAATACTTATTTTTAAATGATTGAAAGTCGTACTTTCAATCATGTTTTGAGAAAAAAAAAAAAAAAAAAAAAAAAAGCTCAACCCCAAAACTCGGCGTCTCTCGGCGGGCACAGTGTCTGCTTTTTCCCATCTTCTCCGGCGTCGGCCTCGGCGTCGGAGCTCTGCTCTCTCTTTTTCTTCAGGCCCTCCTCTCCTCATGAGGAAGAAAAACTCTTCTAAAAAGAAATCGCCGCCCTCTGCGGTTGCTCAAAAATCTCTCTCGCCTCCGCTCCGGGTTTCCGATGCCGCTGCTCCGGCCACTGTCTCACCGACGGTTGCTGCCTCAACTCCGGTTACCCCAGCGTCTCCTCCCGCCCAAGGCCCTTGCAAGGCTCCTCTCCCAGCTCCAGATCTAAGCACCTCTGCTTCAGATCTGCGGTCTTCTGGTCCAAATTCTGCGAAAGCTGCGACCGCGGCTGACCCAGCTTCTTCTTCTTCCAACGAAACGCCATGGTTAGGCCTCTTCAAAGCTTCTCCACACCGTCTCTCAAAGAAAGGAACAGCCTTCACCCTCCCATCGGGTGAGGCCTGTGTTTTGATCCCGAATTCGGTTATTGAAAATAACTCCAAGGCCTGGGAATGTTTCGTCCTCGGGCAGTTCTATTCCGATCCACCGGCGCAGGGTACTATTCACGCTATTGTCAACGGAATCTGGAGTCGATTTCATCGCGATATCAGCGTGAGTAAAATGGAGGGCAACTCTTTCTTGTTTCGAATTCCAAACGCTGCTACAAGGAACCGTGTTCTCCGTCAGGGGCTTTGGCAAATTGAAGGACAAACCATGTTTGTGGCTAATTGGCAACCTGGCCCCATTCCTCAAAAGCCTGAGCTCTCTTTAGCCCCAGTTTGGCTTGAATTGAGAAACGTTCCTTTCCAGTTTTTCAACGAGGAGGGGTTTGAGTATATAGCTGGACTTGTTGGTGAGCCTAAGGGCCTCCATCCAAGCACCGCAAATCTGACAAACCTGGATGTCGCCAAAGTGCTAACGCTTATCGATCCGAGAAAGCCATTACCAGAAGCCGTCAATGTGCAGTTTCAATCCGGAGAAATCAGTCGTGTGCTTGTTTCAAGTCCATGGATGCCCCCGGTCTGTTCCTTTTGCAAAGAAGTGGGTCACAGCTTAAAAAAATGCAAGGTTGCGCCTGTGACTTGTTCTATCTGCAATTCTACTTGCCACGATTCTGCTGACTGCCCTAGAGGAAAGGCCAAAGCTCCTAAGAAGGCACGCAAGCCCCAGCTAAAAGTTGCTTCCATTGGGACTCCTTCTTCTGTAGTTCTTCCTCACAGCTTACCTCCTCACTCTGCTAAGGGAAAGGGAAAAGCTGTTGAGGCTGCAGTCTCTTTGCCCCCCCCAGTTTGGCAAAAGAAGATGACTCAACCTCAAATCCATGTCCAGGAGACTCCTCCAAGTACTTCTGAATGGATTCAAGTTAAGCCAAGATCCGCTCTAAAGATTCCCGCGGTTGACGGTGCTTCCACCTCCTCTGCTTCTAAGGGACAATTGCCCATTAATATTGGTCCAGTTAAGCTCCACTCTGATCAGGTCTCTTCTGAAGCTAAGAGTCTTGCCTCAGATTCCTCGGATGTTCAGTCCTCTGAGGATGGAGTTGATCCAGATTTTGATGATGCTCAGTTTTTGAAGATGTTCTCACAGAGACAACAGAGATTTGCGCGGGGCAAGGGCCCCAAACCAAACTGATCAATGTGTATAGACACTTTTTGCTGGAATGTGAGAGGATTTAATAAATCAAGTCATAGAAGAGGTTTCAGAGATTGGTTTAGAGTTAACCAACCTCTTTTTGGTAGTCTCATCGAGACTCACGTCAAACAGGCTAAGCAACACAAATTCCTATCTGCTATTATGCCTGGTTGGCTTTTTGACAACAACTATACGTTTTCTGAGTTGGGGAAGATTTGGTTAATGTGGCATCCGAGTGTCAAGATGTCCATCATTAATAAATCTCTCCAAATGGTGACATGTGCTGTTCTGCTGCCGGATGCACAGTCTGAGATAGTTGTTTCTTTTGTCTACGCAGCTAATGAGGAATCTGTTAAGAGGGAGCTTTGGTTAGAGATCATTTCCACTTCTACTCTTTCCAGTGTGGTGGGGAAACCATGGGCTCTTCTTGGTGATTTTAATCAGGCGCTCTGTCCTCTTGACTTTTCCTCCTCCCTAAATCCAAACACTGATCTGTCCACGAGACTGTTCCAAGATTGTTTGCTTGATGCTGATGTTTCTGATCTAACCTACAGAGGCTGCACTTATACTTGGTGGAATAAGCAATCTGCTAACCCCCTTGCCAAAAAGTTGGATAGAATTCTTGTTAATGAAAATTGGCATTTGATGTTCCCAAGCTCTTTTGGTTATTTTGGGGATCCTGCTTTCTCTGATCACGCCTCTTGCTGCATTACGCTTAATCCGGCTATTCAGAGACAGAAAAAGACCTTCAGATTTCAGAATCTCCTGCTGCAAAATCCTTCCTTTCTGCCTCTTATTGCTCATAATTGGTTCAGCTTCAACTTTGTAGGCTCGGCGATGTTCATCTTATCAAAAAAGCTCAAGGCTCTGAAAGGTTCTATAAGAGCGTTTAGCAAGGACAACTACTCTAATTTAGAGAAAAGGGTAAAAGAAGCTCAAGAAGAGGTTGTTCTTCTCCAACGGCAATTGCTCACTAATCCAAATCCTTCCATTGCTGCTTCGGAGAGGACTGCTAACTCCAAATGGCAAACTCTTCTACATGCTGAGGAATCTTTCTTTTGCCAACGGTCTTCTGTCACTTGGCTCAGAGAAGGGGATCTTAACACAGCCTATTTTCATCGTATGACTGCTGCCAGACAAGCTATTAACCACATTCATTTTCTTGTGGACAGCCATGGTTCAAGAATTGATTCCCAAGTTCATATCCAGAATCACTGTGTTGAGTATTTTGAGAACCTTCTTGGGGGTCCGGAGCAGCCTCCGCAGTTTGATCCTGCAGACATCTCTTCTCTTCTTAAGTTTAGGTGCTCTCATTCTCAGCATCTTGCGCTGGGTAAACAGTTTTCTCCTGAGGACATCAAGGCTGCAATGTTTTCTCTCCCCAGGAATAAGACTTCTGGCCCTGATGGTTATTCTGCGGAGTTTTTCAAAAGCTGCTGGAATGTTATTGGTCCAGAAGTTGTTGAAGCTGTGAGTGAATTTTTCAAGTCTGGGAAAATGCTAAATCAATGGAATGCAACAACCATTGTTCTTATCCCGAAGATTCCCAACGCTTCCTCCACTTCAGATTTCAGACCCATCTCTCTGTGCAACTCTATTTATAAAGTGATTTCTAAGCTGTTGGCAGGAAGACTTCAGGTTCTGCTTCCCTCTGTTATCTCAAATGCTCAATCCGCATTTATTCCAGGAAGGCTCCTTGCAGAGAATGTCCTATTGGCTACTGAGCTGGTTAATGGATATGGCAGGAAAAATGTGGGACCAAGGGGAATGCTTAAGGTCGATTTAAGAAAGGCCTTTGATTCAGTGAATTGGTGCTTCATCATTGCTATTATGCGTGCTCTGAACTTTCCGGAGAATTTTATTGGATGGATCAACCAATGTATTTCGACCCCTCAGTTTTCTGTTGCTGTGAATGGTCACACTTCTGGTTATTTCAAGAGTTCAAAGGGGCTAAGGCAGGGAGACCCAATCTCTCCATACTTATTTGTCTTGGCCATGGAAGTGTTCAGCAGCCTCATGAGCTCTTCATTTGCTGCTGGTTTCATCGTGCACCATCCAAAGACTAAAGAGCTGGATATCACTCATCTCATGTTCGCGGATGACGTTATGGTGTTCTTTGATGGCTCCTCCATGTCTCTTCAGGGAATCTCTGATACCATGGATCTTTTTGCTAGCTGGTCTGGACTGGTTATGAATTGTGCTAAAACCCAAGTTTTCACTGCCGGTTTGGAACCTGCTGAATCCTCAGCCATTGCTAACTCTGGATTCTCCATTGGTTCTATGCCAATTCGCTACTTGGGACTCCCTCTAATGAGTAGAAAACTCAGAATCTCCGAATATTCATCTCTTATTGAGAAGATGGTTAAAAGATTCAAATCCTGGGCTGCCTCTTCTTTGTCCTATGCTGGGAGACTTCTACTGATTAAATCAGTCATCTATGGGCTTGTCACGTTCTGGTCCTCTACTTTTATGCTACCAAAAGCTTGCATCAAGAAGATGGAGTCTCTTTGTGCACGATTCCTTTGGTCTGGTTCCATTGACAGTTCCAGGGGAGCTAAGGTTGCTTGGGCAGCAGTTTGCTATCCAAAGGATGAAGGAGGTCTTGGTTTGAGACGAATGAGCACTTGGAACTCTACCTTGTGTTTAAAACTGGTCTGGCTGCTGTTCGCTGGCAGCGGCTCTCTTTGGGTGGCTTGGCACCATCATCATCATATCAAAGGTAAAAGTTTCTGGTCTCTAAAGCCTTCTGCCTCTGATTCTTGGAACTGGAGATCCTTGCTTTTGCTGCGTCCTCTTGCAGAGAAATTTTTGACCTGCAACATAAGGAATGGAAAGAATGGTAGTTTCTGGCTTGATAACTGGCACCCGCTTGGCACTCTCATCAAGTTTGCTGGCCAGCAGGGTCCCGGAAAACTCAGAATTCCACTACTCTCTTCAGTGGCTGACGCTTTCGCAAATTACTCTGCGAGAATACCGAGACTCTGCTCTCCACAAATTGTGGCTGTTCATGATCTGCTCTCCACTGTCCACTTGACTGACGATGAGGAGGACCATGATTTCTACAGTTGGTTGGGACGTGATTCAAACCTCATAAAGTTCCCAACTGCAGAGACTTGGGATAGTTTAAGACTAAAAGCTCCTGCCAAGGCTTGGTCATCCTCTGTTTGGTACAAAGGAGCCACACCTAAGCATGCCTTTAACATGTGGCTAGCTCAACTTGACAGGCTACCAACTAGAGACCGTCTTATTGCTTGGGGCATGCCGATCTCTCCCGCCTGCTGCATTTGTTCTCAATTTGCTGAATCTAGAGATCACCTTTTTCTTAGGTGTGTGTTCAGCGAGCAGATTTGGAAGCTTATTCTCCTACGACTAAACCTGTCTCCTTGCACTTTCTATACTTGGTCTTCTCTTCTTGTGTGGACACGGCTCAGCTCTACCACTGCTCCCACGGTTCTAAGGAAGTTGGTGGCTCAGGCTGCGATTTACCATATATGGAAGCAGAGGAACAATCTTCTTCATAATCAAGTCTCAATCCCGGCCTCTACTGTCTTCATGACCTTGGAGAAGGAGATCAGAAACACGATCACTGCTAGAAAGAACAGACGGGTCTTTCGCAACTTAATGATCCTTTGGATTCGATAATGCGTTGTTTGACACCCATCGCTTTGTTTTTTTATTATGTAACCCTTGTTTTTTATTTCTTTTTTGGCAAGGTTACATTCACTTAGGTTATGCTTTCATTGTAGAACCTCACCTCTTCATATTATATGATATTCACATTCCTATCAAAAAAAAAATACTAGGTTAATTAGTCTCATTCTCATATAGATATATGTTACATTATCTAAAATTAAATGCACATATATAGTTCAAATTATATACGCATTTAATTTTTAAACTAAAGTTACTAAAGATTGCGACAATATGTAAATCATATCATGTTGCATATGGCAACGACTAAGACGAGTCACGTTCTTGCTCATCATGAGCCGAACCAAACCACGGCGTATTCTCCGAGTCCATAACCGTAAGTGGCATGCCTTGTGAATTTGTCTCCACTATAGGGGCATAATCGTCATCATAACCAAATAGTTTTGGTCCAAATTCTCCGGCGCCGGGAGAGTAACAAGATGACGTAGTTTCGTGGTTGTTTAGGAAGAGAAGCATGTTTTGGTGAAACCAGATCTGAGCCTTCAAGAACTTGACGTACCTAATGGCTTCTTCAAGCATAGAGACAGTGTCCATCTTCGCACCACCAGGGACCATGCTTTGTAGAATCTTGAAACGCTCGCTGATTCGGTGCCGTCTCTCACGAGCCGCCACGCTCTGAGGGTCCGTTGATAACGTGGACGTTGATCTTGACCGTTTTGTGTTTCCGGTTTCGCTCTTGTGACCGTGCAAAGAAGAAGAGGATGAGGAAGTGGCGGATGATGAATTAGGGTTTTGGCCACGAAGATTAAAATCATCCATTGTGATTGTCGTGGTTTATAATTATTACGTAGTATGCTTATACATATATATAGTTACATCCGAAATGGTTTAGTGGTAACGTTGGTTTATGACTTTATTCTAAAAAGATCTCAAGAGCACGTGGGGCTCCGGATTTCACGTAGTAGTGGGGTTCGGTGAAAACATTGGACTAAAGTGCAGACGAAAAACAAAGCCCTAATCATTTCTTACAACTCAAACTCTACGTACTGTCTTCTCAAACAACCACCTTCATTGCACATTACCCACGTTTATGTACAGTACTTGTCCCAATCCATATTTGATATAATATCTTCGTTCTTCCCTCATAGTCCAATACAAATTCTATCATCGATCCCTAAAAACTATATGCTCAAATTAAGTAAATAAGTTTACATAATTAATATATATATATATATAGGTTAGCCAGAATTGCAAAGTTGATAGTTTTTTCTCCTTTTGAATAAACACATTTGAATCTATACAAGTAAGAAAAATAGGAAGTAAGTTGATATGAAAAGACCGGATAACAACAACAACAACAACTATGCTTGAAAGACGCATGACATGAGCTTGAAACAGTTAACAGTGGCAATTTAGTCAGAGAATTCTATTCTTTCTATTTAGTCATTCTATTCTTCCTATTTTATTTTCTAGGCCATTCTTTTTGTATTAATGGAAAGGAATAATATGAAATTTCTAAACAACGATTATTTTTGAAGTTGTATTTTTTTTTGTTAAATTAACGTACAATTTTCAATTGTGAGATAGATAACTGTCGCCTCGGCTGTTGAGTAAATGAGACGTTACTTTCACGTGAGATCAATAAGGGGTTGTGCCAACACAGAACTGCCTACAGGTCTTCCCCAGATTTCCTATGAGGCCATGTGTCATTCATGACCGCCACGTATCATTGTATTTGTACACGTAGATATATCCAACAAATCAGTAAACACGAGAGGAGCAATCTTTTTTAAGATGTAGAAAAGAAAGAGACTCTCTGTGATAGAACTAAGAAACAGTTAAGTTTATAGCATCAAAATAAGTAAAATGTCAAGTGAGGAGTTCAGGCTGGTTTCGCCGACGATAGACAACGACGGTAATTTGCCGAGAAAGTATACCCAGGGAGGTCAAGGTGCTAAGAAAGATCTCTCTCCTCCTCTTGAATGGTATCGCTGTTTATTTCTATTTTTAATTTATGACTTTGATCGATATATATAATTATGGATGGTGTAACAGAGAGACCTTATATTACTCAATACAAGAACAATGTTTACGTAAATCCATGACAACATTTCATCAAAAAAAAAGAAGAAGTATATCTATGACAACAATAACAATTATTTTTATCAATAAAACAATTTTAAGTAATCAATTTGTTATCATAAAGGCTTCCTAGTTGATTTATTTTCGAAGGATTTTGTTTTCATTTTTTTTCATTACTTTGTTAACATAGCTTATCAATTATATATAGGCTAATAGCTAGCGATTCTAAAAAAATTTCACGATGCTGTCGTGGTTGCCAATCAAGACATATAATTTTTTTATAACAATATTTATTATTGAAACAAAGGATTGAATAATAAAAATGTTGAAGTTGTGTAGGTACAACGTTCCAGAAGGTACAAAATCGCTAGCATTGGTGGTGGAAGACATCGATGCGCCAGATCCTAGTGGACCGCTCGTGCCATGGACGGTGTGGGTTGTCGTCGACATACCACCAGAGATGAAAGGCCTACCGGAAGGATATTCCGGCACTGAGGAGCAGACTACCGGTATTCGGGAAGGGAACAACGATCACAAGATTCCGGGATGGCGTGGGCCTCTCTTGCCTAGTCACGGTCACCGTTTTCAGTTCAAGCTTTTCGCTCTCGATGATACACCCAAGATTGGTCACACGGTAACAGAAACTATAAATACATTATTTTCTTATCAAATTTGGTCATGACATGCATGTAGTTCTTTTATAAAGTGTTGGTTTGAATATGACCTAGGTGACAAAAGAGAGATTGCTGATCGCAATTGAAGGGCACGTGCTAGGAGAAGCCATCTTGACGTGTGTGGCCTAATTATGTCGTCGTTTTAGTCATAAGGCCGTTTGATATGTATCATAGTTTTAAGGTTTTGTCTAAGGAGGGCTATTAGCTCAGGTTGTTAGGAGCATGGGAGGATGTTCGTTACGTTACAGTTGAAAAACTTGAAATCAATATACGGCTAAATAATTAAAAAGTATATGATAAATATTATTTATTTTAAAATTGTAATTTATATTTAGAGATTTTTTCGTATGGACACTCAAGCCGCTGAACGCCGCAAGCATGGAAACTGCAAAGCCTTATGAATGGTAGAGTTTGCCATGCTTGTTTGCTGTTGAGGACTTTGATTTAGTCATCTTTCTTCAGTAAATAGTCAAAATGACTCGAATCCTTCTTTTGCTCATTTCCTGTGAATATACAACATGGATTGATGGATATGGTCATTGACTAAGACAAAAGAAAGGAAAATTTGTGTTTGTCCACAAATTGATTTAGCTGTACAAGTGTGTGAGAGAAGAGAAACCTGTAAACTAAACCCCCAATATTCATAAACCGCCCAAAACAATTATAAGTTGGTTCTAGTGTATTACTAAAAAAATGTAATCTCTACTTGCGACGTGCAGCTTGACTATCATTTCGAATGCGGTCAGCGTACATCGGAAGACGTATGATCTCTTTTATTTCCTCAAGCAACACTTCCTCAGTGATGTTATCATTTATGCTCTTTATCACCTATTTTGTTTTCACAACACAAGAAACAACATCACATTTTTTGCTGAGAAATCACGTAGAGAATATCCATTTGACAAAAGCAATACTTAAAATATATATAGAAATCGTTCAACTGACCTTACGAGCGGTGTTGATATCATTTGGTGTAGTTTTGTCAACTCTGATCCGCATGCTAAACCAAACTTTCTTATCCTTATCCCATGCACACTCTACAATCTTCCCATTGTAACTTGACGGGTCCGAATCATCTCTAAACTCAACTGAATATCCTTCCATAAGCTTTTTCTTCCCTCTTTCATGCAAGAAGAGGAAACCCCGTCCCTCCTCCTCACCCGTCTCAAACAGAAAGTCTACCGAGTTCATTTCTGCATACTTCCACTTCAATAGACCTTTATGGGTTCGTGGAACATAAGGATCATCCCAACCCTAATAAACCAAATGTAAGTCAAGCTCAAGTAATGCAATCTTCCTACTTTCTCCGGGAAAAAAATTAATACTAATCTCATAAGTTTGTGTCTGTCCGCGGTTAGGAAAAATTATCGACTCAGACCTAAAATACAAACATCTCTGTTACCTGAAATATTAAGCCATCTGCTTCATGCGAAAGCGATGGAATGGTATTCTTCAAAAGCTTCTCAACAGTCGAAAGTAACCAAAAACCCTTCATCCGTACCTGGGCAACAACAAAATTTTGCCAACAATTTATACAAAGGAGAAGGAAAATATGGCATGGAACAGAAAATGCAACTCACCGCAAAAGGCTCAAGGTCATATCTATAGCAATGACTTCTGAGCTTCTCAGCTGCTCGAGGTCCGATCACCTCACGCACAAACATGTTCCATCTTTCACAGAAAGTCCGCTGGCACATATTTGAATCAACTGTAAGTTACCTTTAGTATCTACAATACCTGACACTGGTTGGTACCGAGTAAAAACGACACTGACATATTGGGAAACTCTGAATGCTAAGATCTCGTGCTACTGAACTCATTCCAAGGAAATTAATAATACGGGAACGAAAGTTCCAACCTCTACGACTGATTCGCCATTGATTGCTACCATATCATATACGAGGTACCTCCTCCTCGCCTCCCCTTGTTCACCTGTTGGGGTATCTATGACCATCTCTCCATCAAGCAAAGTGTAGTGATGTACTTTATCAGAAATTCCCTACCACCCAAAACCAAATAGGTCAGGTTCACAAGTTTTAGATATGGACACCAAAGGCCTGTAAGCAATGACAGAAAATTACTGACCTCACGTGAGTGCTTACAGGGAAAACGCATCTGTACCCTCCGAAACTTAAAGCTCCTATCTATCAAATAGCACCCATCTATAGTTAAGAGCATCATATAACGTGTTCCATCTGCCTTCCATGTCGCATAATAGTACCGCTGTCTCAAAAGTTGCAAACTCTCCCTGTGTATGCAAAAATCGTAAAGATTTAACTACATTGAGAAACTAGGACTAATGAACCTCTGGAATTTAGAACATACACTTGCTAAATCCTCTTTGTACGCAATACCAAAAGTAAAGCAGAGATTCTGACCTGTCTAATGATACAGGGTGCGAACCTGGGAATGGCTTACATCCTCCTCCCTGGAAGAAAGAAATTTTAATTCATCAAATGATTAAGAGATCACTGAAGCTAACTATAGCATTAGTCTCAACAAACGTTTGACATGATTTAATTTCAGGAAACACACATGCAGGGGAAAAGAGAAAGAAAAAAATTTCTAAATTGTTTTTTCTATATGAAGTCATTTGAAAAAAAAAATCTCGAGTTTTCTTAGCAAATTATTACAAAATCAAAGATATACGGGGAATAATATCAAATTTCAAATCTAAATTTTAAAGAATTGACTTTAAGTCAACAATAACACCCACTAAAAAATAATATTCAATAAGAGCACATAACGAGAGAGAAAATAAAAACTGGTAAGAACAAATAAGCTGTTTAAAATTCATACCCCAATATTCATCTTCTTGTTTTCTGGATAAAGCATCTTATAACAGAATTGCCGGTAAGCTTCCTCCTGATAATGGGGTATTTCATCACCCAAAATGTCATCATTTGACATCTTCACAGTCTCCTGATTAATTTCCTGAACAACGAAACAGAAAAGAAAGGCAAGATCAGCAACAGACCCATTAGAAAACTCAAGCAAAATGAGATTGCCACTTTATGAACTTTGTCAGCTTTGGTAGACTCAACTGCACCCATCTATATGCACACAAAGATACCGTTGTTTTCCAAGATCACTATGTAGTAATTAAATGACCTAGAAACAATAGTTATGAAGCTGGAATTTAATAAAAATAGCCGTTCATAAGATTATGATCTCTCTTTAACAAGGGCAAGAGCTTTAACACTTAACAATGCATGCAGGATATTCATTCGAACGGATAATTCTGTAAATGAGAGTTAAACTTAAGAGATTAATAAACAATAAGCACTTGTTTGCACCACGCTTACTTGAACAGGGTCAGGCGGAGAATCATCATCATCATCATCATCTTGAACAGCTTCACCATTAAGATCAAGCTCGGTAGACCTCTTCCATTCAGGAGTTGGTGGGCAAGTAACACTCTCAGGCTTTATTTCGTGATAAAAAGTGTATAAAGCATCAATATAATCCGCTTTATAAATCCCAGGTGGGCGGGCATCAGAAAACATTTTCAATGCCTGCCAAAGGCCACACAGAGGTAAGAATCTCCATTCTAAACAGGATAAATACAACGAGTGCACAAGTCCAATAACTGAACCTGTGTAACGTTCATGGTTGGCATAGAGCGCATAAGATAATGAACTATCATGAACCCTGTCCGATTATGCCCATGTGTACAGTGGACGAGGACATACTTCTTTGCGTGTTTTTGATTAAGGACGAACTGCAGAACCTGAAAGACAGTATCCTCAAATGAGCTACCAACGGTAGATAAGTTTGTGCTTCAATTAAAACTCAAGAGGAGAAAATAAAACTTCAATTTTGTCAGTCAAGAAGAGAACTGAACTTATGAAACAAGTACCTCGTTGACAAAGGTGTTTACAGACACATTATCAGGCACGGCATCACGACCCCTGCATGCAATCTACAAACAGGAAAAGGAAGATAAAGTAATCCGCTACTGGTGATGCAGACGATACAAACTTTAAAAACAAAATGTATTCCATTCATCACCTTAACATGCTTGATGCCATCCTTCTTTAAGTCAAGTGTAGGGTAGTAACGAGTTGTATTAGTTAGATCAATCACAAGACCAAGCTGCAAAAAGACCAATTGCTTTTTAACATAGCAAAGAAAAAGATTGATCCATGTAAAAAAAAAAAACTTACTTTTCTTCCATTAATTCTCTGGTTACGGACCACCTGTTTAAAAGAGTATCTTTTACCAGGAGGAACATGTTCGTTGTAAGATTCACTAAGAGGAACCTTAGAAGGAATAATACAACCTATCTCCAGACCAAAACCAGGACAATCTAGCCAACCTGTTGTTATAAAAAAAGAATGAAGCTAAAAAGATGGATCTTTTGAGGAAGTGGCAAAGAAGCATATAATTTACTTACCCTGAGGAAGCTTGCTTTGATCATAAACTCTAGTATCTCTCTTCTGATAAGACTGGTCACGAAAAACCGGCTGAGAGCTTCTGGTTGGCCTGTCATATCTCATTCGTTTCTTTCGTTCTTCACGCTCCTATAAGATAACGAATTACGATATCATTCCAAACATATACAAATTCTATGTAGAGGCAAATAATGGGGTTATTGTACCCGTCTAGCGATCTCAACAGCAGATTCAACTCGATCTTCATGACGTCTCTTAAAGGATTCCTCGTCTTCTTCGGGTTGGGGTGAAGCATTTAGGTCCATCGCAGAGTAAAGGAGATCGATACAATTTCGAAGAATTTATAGGCAGTATGAGAATCAGAAAGAAATTCCCTGCAATCAAAATTGAAATCGAAACCTAGCGGAGAGACCCTCGCTCGTGTTGTCGAAACTGTTGCGGTTTATTAAAAATAAAATTAGTTATTTCATTATTTGGGCCGTCAAAAATTGTGTATTCACACGATTTAATATTCACAGTAATAGTTCTTGTTATTGAATCTGGAGACTCTCCTTTATACACGGGTAGAGATATATACATCAATATTCTTAAACTTATCTTAAATATAAGACAAACTTATCTGTACGAGATTCACATATATTTCACAACAGATGTATGGGGAAAAATAATTCAATAGCACACGTAGACTTTTGCCCAAGAAAAAAAAAATCTATCACACGTAGGCATTGATTTTACTCGTGAGAATTTTCTCGGCACCTTGGATTAGTGTATATCATAGTTTGTTAGTTTTATTTTCAGTCTTGGCATTTTTTTCTAAATATATAATTAATTTTCTGCTTTAAAAATCTAATGTAATTTAATAACACCATAATACCATTTCCAGAAATTTAGTGGAGATTGAGAAATAATCTTGTCTTATCTAATAAAAAATAAAGATATATAACATGCAAGCTTTATTCACCAAGAAATAATAAACTCTAATTAGGTCTTTGGCAAAAAAAATCTCTTAATATTTTGCTGTCGAACAAAGTAAAATTCTCTAAATGATAGCCAAGATACATTAATTAATATGATATAACTAAAAACAACATTACTTTCTTTATTTATTTTTAATAATAAATATTACTTTTATATATAAATAATAATAAATACTTTCTTATATATCATTGGAGGTTGTTTGGTATGAAATCTGACATTTTAAAACAAAAGAAAAATAAACACGGAAAAGAACATCTTCACCACTCTCTTCCATCATCAACAATTCAATTTTAAAAAATGTCCTCAAACGTTGACCCAAGACAAAGATGAAGAGCTTGTTTTGTCCCTGGAGATGCTTCGTCACGAGAAAGGTCACCAAGCTACGCTTCTGATGGGTGCGTGTTCGTATATATATCAAAACTGTATATTTATATGTGTTAATATGTTGTCGGATATTTTATTTCTTTTTGCTCTGATTTATCTTTTTGGCAGGATCTGCTAATACTAGTAGCACGACGGCGATGTCGTCTCAACAATACCCTGTCCGGAGAACTACCGCCGAGGACTTCTTGTACTCCGAGAACGAGAAGTCTGATTATGAATGGTAATCCCCGATCTCAGAACATTTGCCTTGTTGTAGTTTCCCTTTTTTTTATTTTATTTTGTTACATTTTGCATTAAAAAGTATTTGTATTCGGATAGAACATAACAAAGATTCCACCGGACATTCCTTGTTCATCTGATTTTGAGTTTGTACGCGCGCATACTAAAAAAATTTCACTAGTTATGGTTTGTAAAGTTTTAAATGTCAAAGTCTAATAAGACTAGGGCCTTGCATGAAATCTGTGTCTGTATGTGTGTATCATTTTGCCGATTGTTTTAAAACTGAGCTTTGAAGTAGACAAACTTTTCAATCACGTTTCCTTACATTACATATCTCAATTGTAACATTTTAGTTTAAAATTACTTGTATAAAGTTGGATCTCTAAATCAGTAAACCTTTTTCAAAATTGGCCCTTTTGTCAAAATTTGCTGATTTTTCTTATTGTTCAGGCTGGTTACGCCACCAGGCTCACCGAGTAGAAGCGTAACAAACCAACTCGACGCACCAGATGCTAACCTGATGGGTCTTATATCTCGGGTACGGACTCACTATGTCTCGTGGTCTCGCCAGTCTCTCAAGTGTCTGCACATATACGTTACACCCTTGCTCATCTCTGATGGTTTTTTTACGTACAGTTAGAGAACTATAGCAAAGAAGAGTCCAATAACCAAACGACGTCGTTACACAGTTCCTCCTCTGTTTCTGGAATCAGAAGACCCTCGTCCTCTAGTAGCTCAAGATCAACGAGTAGACCACCCACACCAACCAGAAAGTCTAAAACTCCAGCTAAAAGGCCATCAACGCCGACCTCACGTGCCACCTCAACAGCTGCACGTGCCACGTTAACCTCGTCCTCTACTAGTAGCTTAACAAGATCAAGGAGCAGACCTTCTTCTAGCTCTGGAACCTCACGTGTTACCTTAACCGCTGCACGTGCAACCAGGCCTACCACCTCAACCGGCCAAAAAACTACCGGTTCAGCTACCTCTACTCGATCCAATAACCGGCCGATGTCGGCTCCTAATTTAAAACCGGGATCGAGGTCAAGTACTCCAACTCGCCGCCCATCAACTCCAAACGGTTCATCGACTGTATTGATAAGTAAACCAATTAAACCGGCTCTGTCTCAAGGAGCTTCTCCGATCGTGAGACCAAGGCCATGGGAACCTTACGAGATGCCTGGATTCTCAATAGAAGCGCCGTCTAATCTCAGAACTACGTTACCGGATAGGCCACAAACCGCTTCAAGTAGCAGAACCAGAGCGTTTGATTTGTCAAGTAGTTCAAGATCAGCGTCCATAGAACGTGATGTTGCAAAGAGACAGTCTTGTTCGCCTTCTAGAGACCGAGCTTCAAATGGAAATGTAAACGGTGCTGTTCCATCGTTACGTGGACGACGAGCAAAGACGACGAACAACGATGATGGTGGATTGATAAGTCATGTGGCTAAGGGAAATCAAAAGGTCGAGAGAATTGTGAATATGAGAAAACTTGCTCAACCGCAACTAACAGAAAGCGGCGGCCGAGGACTTAGTGGTGGTGGTGGCTCCTCCGCCGGGAAGTCGAGCTCTCGATCTGACGGTTTTGGGTTTGGGCGAAACCTATCTAAAAGCTCCATCGACATGGCCTTGAGACACATGGTACGGTAACAAATGAAATGAGATTGAAGGACATAACCATGCACGCAGCGTTTAAACGACTTTCAACTTTTGAGAATTTGAGTACTTTTGTAATGATCTCTCTGTGTTAATAGGATGTTAGACGAGGAAGCATGGCGGGGAATTTCCGACCATCAGTGACGAAAGTTCCGGCCACTTCATTGAACAGTGTAAGATCATGTCGAAACCGGCCGGTGATCAGCAGCGGAAGCTCGGAATCAAGTGTCAACATTTTGCGCTTAGACGGTAGCGATGATAATCTGAGCGACATAAGTTACTCTTAAAGAGTTACAATTAACTCTTTTATGCTCTTCATTCCCAGTGATTTCTTTGTTTTGTAGTAGAAGATATTAAAAATCTCCCAGAATCATGAAGGTCAGGCCTAACTATTAGGAATGGCCATGAATTTTGATTTATATATAAATTTTTGGACCTAAGAGGCAATTTTTTCCGACTTGATAATAATGATGGTACAGATTGTATAAAATTGTGTTGTTCTTTTCTTACTCACACGTCACAACTTTGATGTCTTCTCTTTTTTTGCCAACCAACTTGATGTTCTTATTTGATTTTTATGATTTTACCTCCCTCTTCTGTTTTTTTTTTCACAATTTTTATTTTACTTATAGAATAAATTATTCAATACGTTTTCCACATTTTACAATATTTATAGTTGTAAACATTAACTATCCATTTGTTCGAAGTCAGCCAAAAATTATCGGCCTAATCCGATTTCGTCATATATCACACCAAAAAATTGCAAGAATTCTTACATGTTGACAAAAAAAGAATGATTCTCCAAGATTTTATTTTGTTAAGAACGGTAATTAACGGCTGACAAGCGATGATGGTGAAAACAGGATTATGCATCTTACGCCACGTGTAAAGAAGTCTCAGGTTTTCTCGTAATTTAACATTAAATCGATGTCGTAACAATTAAACGCCTTCTCTCGCCTATAAATATCTGAGCCTACCTTCGTTCTCATGTTGAAGAAAAAATTAAGGGACCCAGAGAAACCCTCTTTAGCGGAGAGAAATCACAGAGAAAAGTAGCAAAATTGAATCTGCAGATTTTCTCACGCATTTTCCCAGAAACTGTTATCTTCACTACCTGATTCGTTCTTCAGAAGTCTGAATTGAACGAATTTACGATGAGTCGTTTAGGTCATAAATCCGTGGTTTATCACGGAGATTTGCGTTTGGGGGAACTTGATGTGAACCATGTATCTTCAAGTCATGAATTTCGATTCCCGAACGATGAGATTCGAATCCACCATCTATCTCCGGCTGGTGAGAGATGTCCTCCGCTCGCGATTCTTCAGACGATTGCTTCTTTTGCCGTTAGATGCAAGCTTGAGTCATCGGCTCCGGTCAAACCTCAAGAGTTAATGCATCTACACGCAGTCTGTTTCCATGAATTGAAGGTAGGATTGAGATTTCCGAAATGACATTTAGCTGATTTTGGATGTTTCCAATTGTTAGGAGTGATTCAGTATTTTGATTTTGTGAATACAGACTGCAGTGGTTTTGCTCGGAGATGAGGAGATTCATTTAGTGGCGATGCCGAGTAAGGAGAAGAAGTTCCCGTGTTTTTGGTGTTTTTCGGTTCCTTCAGGTCTTTATGATTCATGTTTAAGGATGCTTAATACTCGGTGTTTGTCAATTGTGTTTGATCTGGATGAGACTTTGATTGTTGCAAATACCATGAAGTCATTTGAGGATAGAATCGAGGCTCTTAAATCCTGGATTTCACGAGAGATGGATCCTGTGAGGATTAATGGAATGTCAGCAGAACTTAAAAGGTATATGGATGATAGGATGCTGCTGAAGCAGTATATTGATAATGACTATGCATTTGATAACGGAGTTTTGTTAAAGGCTCAACCTGAGGAGGTCCGCCCAACTTCGGATGGACTCGAGAAAGTTTATAGACCCGTGATTAGATTGCCCGAAAAGAATACTGTGCTTACTCGAATTAATCCAGAGGTTAGAAGATCTATCTCTGTTGTGGTTGTATATGTATTCATTTCCATCTAATCTGATGTTTTGGACTTACCTTTTCTGGGATGTGATAGGATAAGGTCGCTTTAGTATCCTTGAGTAATCTAGTTTTAATATTGTTGGAACTGAAACCAAGTTTTTACTCCTGTCTGGGGTTATTTCTGATGCAGATCCGTGACACTAGTGTGCTTGTAAAACTGAGACCAGCGTGGGAGGAGTTGAGAAGTTATTTGACAGCCAAAACTAGGAAACGTTTTGAAGTTTACGTTTGCACCATGGCTGAAAGGGATTATGCTCTGGAAATGTGGAGACTACTTGATCCTGAAGCACACTTGATTAGTCTCAAGGAGCTTCGAGATCGTATTGTCTGCGTTAAACCAGGTTAAAATCAACTCCGACTTCTTTGATACCCTTGATCTTTGTTTTGGTACATAGGGACCATGCTCCCATTAGTGTAGTTTCTTTATTCTGTTTTACTTATCTCTTTCATTACTGTTTCTGTGGTGAATTGTTAACTCTTTTTTTTTTTTTTTTTTTTTTTTTTTTTTTTTTTTTTTTATGTCTTGCTCTTTGCATATCAGACGCCAAGAAATCGTTGTTAAGTGTTTTCAATGGTGGCATATGCCATCCGAAAATGGCAATGGTCATTGATGACCGTATTAAGGTTTGGGAGGACAAGGATCAACCACGGGTTCATGTTGTTCCTGCATATCTTCCTTATTATGCTCCACAAGCAGAGGCATGTCGTTGCTCTTGCATTTAGTTGTGAATTTAGTTATGTATCACTTAATTTTCCATGTGGGTATCTAATCATTTTCTTATGCCCATTTATCAGACAGCCCTTCTCGTTCCAATTCTCTGCGTAGCAAGAAATGTTGCTTGCAATGTCAGAGGTTACTTTTTCAAGTAAGTTATTTTGTTTTTGTTTTTTGTTTATGTAATGAATTCATGCTGGTTGTTCTTACTGTTTCTGTACATTTATGGCAGGGAATTTGATGAGAGTTTAATGAGTAGTATATCTTTGGTTTACTATGAAGATGATGTGGAAAATTTACCTCCATCACCAGATGTGAGCAACTATGTCGTTATAGAGGTAACTGTAGTTAGAACTTTATCATTGTTAACGTATTGCACAAATTTTGGCCCCAACTACAATATGTAATCTAGCTATATCTGTCTGCAGGATCCTGGCTTTGCCTCAAATGGAAACATAAATGCTCCTCCAATGACCGAAGGAATGTGTGGGGGTGAAGTGGAACGCAGACTAAACCAATCGGTCAGTAAAATAAATACAAATTTGGGATTAGTTAAGTAAAAAATGTTTTGGTGCAAAGCTTTTGTGTCAGTTGTAATTTGATTTCTGTTGACTTTTCAATTTCTGGGATGAGAAGGCTGCAGCTGATCATTCTACTCTTCCTGCAACAAGTAACGCTGAGCAGAAACCTGAAACCCCTAAGCCGCAGATAGCAGTTATACCAAATAACGCAAGCACGGCAACTGCAGCAGCACTGTTACCTTCGCATAGTACGAACTTTTGACTTGATTAAAGTTTGAACTGTACAGTTATTTTGCACGTTAATGTTTGTCTCTGACATTCTCTATCTTTTGTCTTCAATCATAATCTAGAACCTAGTTTGCTTGGAGCTCCTAGACGGGATGGCCTCACTTTTTCTGATGGTGGAAGACCCCTTATGATGAGGCCTGGTGTAGATATAAGGAACCAAAACTTTAATCAACCGCCCATTCTGGCTAAAATTCCTATGCAGCCACCTTCCTCTTCTATGCATTCTCAGGGTGGTTGGTTGGTAGATGATGAGAATAGACCATCTTTTCCTGGTCGACCTTCAGGAATTTATCCAAGTCAATTTCCTCATGGAATACCAGGTTCTGCTCCTGTTGGTTCATTCGCACACCCATCCCACTTGAGGAGTGAAGAGGTTAGTTTTGTGTTCTAAGTATCTCTCTTTTGACATCAAAGTATGTTGTCTACGGTCTGATAATTTTCTTGCAGGTATCAATGGATGATGACCTGAAAAGGCAAAATCTTTCACGTCAAACAACAGGTATGTTCTAGTTTCAACACTAATGCAATCAAGCTGATAGTAAGATAATTAGTCGATCGCTGAATTTCTTGTTTCCTTCGTGAAGCTTGTTTTCAGTGTACCGCTATAAAGCTACATTAGATATTGACTTAGGATAAGATAATTATTGGTTTCCCCATCTGATGTATTGTCTTTCTATTGAATCTGTAATAGCTACTTGAATAATAAGGTGCATTAATACCTTTTAACATTAGCACTTGTTCAAACTATTTGCAGAAGGTGGATTATCCCAGAATCATTTGGTGTCAAATGGTAGAGAACATCATACAGATGGTGGAAAGAGTAATGGCGGGCAATCTCATTTATTTGTGAGTGCACTACAAGAAATTGGAAGAAGATGTGGTTCAAAGGTGCATATTCACTAATTACGCAACCTATTGCTTCTTCTCTTTTCATGGATTCTGATTAATTTATTTACGATTTTGCAGGTGGAGTATAGGACTGTGATAAGTACCAACAAAGAGTTACAGTTTTCAGTTGAGGTCAGCTGGATCAGTTTGTTGACGTATCTTGTCTAATGTTAACCATTACTTATTTTTGTTTTAATTGTTGTTGTAATTTTACATAGGTTTTGTTCACGGGTGAGAAGATAGGCATTGGGATGGGAAAAACTAAGAAAGATGCACATCAACAAGCGGCCGAGAATGCTCTTCGAAGTTTGGCTGGTAAAGTTTTTTCTTGGGGAATTAATGACTATGGATCTATTCACCACTTGATTAAGTCTGCAAATTGTTCTTAGTCTTTTGTGTAGTGAGCAAATTTGGTTCCAGATTGGTCAATCTTCTTTGTGTTGCTTTGTGCAGAAAATTATGTTGCACATGTGGCACTTCTATCTAGAGAAACAGAGAAAGATCCAGAAAATGATAATGGATTTTTGTGGGAAAGCAGTGAAGATGTATCAAACAAAGGACTTGAAGAGGAAGCACCTAAAGAAAACATTTCAGAGTTGTGAGTTTTGCAGAAATGCAAAATTTATGTTGAAAGAGAGAGAGATGAGATGTGGGGAAGATGACATAAGGTAAATATTCCTTACCAATGAGAAACCAAAATAAGCGAAGATCAAAAAAGGTAACAAAGTGTCTCAAATAAGAGACTTTTTGATTAAAAGCTAGCCTATTCCCTTAGGGAGCTAGTCTCATGACTCTTGTTGTTTTGGTTTCTATAGAGTTTTGAGAAAGTGAGTATGAAACCTTGCACCCAAGGCTCCACCCACCTGAATTAGGCTTTGTGTTATGTATAGTGATTGTATATTTTTCGTCTATGGTTTTTTGTTGTTGTTGTTGGTTCTTAAGAGCAGCATGTGGATTAGTTAGAAGGGATTTATGTAGTTTCTGATTAGTTTGTAGCCCTAGCCCATACTATATGGCTAAACAAAACTTCACAAGACCCACTCACAAAGCCCATGATATCTATAAATTACATGTACTCTTTCATTTTATCACCTTTGTCACAATTTTATAAATTTTACCGCATTACCTCCTGCCCAGTGCCCCCACTAACATTTTTGCGTCTTATGTTGTGTATAAATTTATACAACAAGAAATCGCATATAGTTTTGGGATTTTTCGATTGTATATTGGATTAGAAAAAGCATACGGTCATCGAGATTTACAAATATACTACAAGGGAAAAAAAAAATGAGGTGTTCCTAAACGTACGGCGTTAGCAATTACCTGGCCCTTCGTGAAGAGCACCAAAGCTCCAAAACTAATAAAAACATTAGAAAATTGTACAAGAACTTGAATTTCTACAGAAGACTAAATTATTGATATGTTAATCTTGATCCTCATCATTATGTAAGCCATTGGAATTGTAAGTTCAATCATATGATAATCATCATCATCATCATTATGTAACAACAATACAATTATTTGGGAGAATTGGATCCACATGGTACATACTGTCCTATGTACTTAACAGTTAACACTAACACTCCATTCTTTCTTCATCTCTCCCTTTACCAAAACCATTTGATCATTACACATCTACAAAGACAACACAACAGTGCAGTTTTGACTAAACATAACATAACATAAAGGTGAGCAGAGAAGAAGAAGGTAGCCTACCTTTTAAGAGCAGTTTTGACTTTTGACTATGAGAGAATCATCTTCTTGAGGCTCTTTTGCTGATGTATGTATGCACTCGAAACTTAGTCGAGTTTAGAAAAGTCCAAAGTTGCTTAGAAGCTTGTAAAGCGTTCTGCGTCCCCACTGGATATCATTCTCTAAAAGCACTTCCGGTGTTCCAAGCGGCTCTGTCTCTAGCCGCTGCTGCTCTTCCTCTACTCTATTGTACTGCCTCTGTTCTACACTTTTCACTGCTTCTTGTTCCGGTTTCTCGAATAACGAAATCGCTTTTACTTTTGCTTTCTTGTTTCTTTCTGCTTTGGTTTCTGGCTTCTTATCTACCTGCAAATAGCTTCTCCATTCATTAATAGGACAATAAGGGACAGCCGAAAATCACATTGCTGAAAATAATTTAACAGTCTTAGATATGAGGAGAGTCTTAGATTAGCTTGAAGACATAGTGAAGGAAACTTTTTTTTTATGAACTGGGGTAATATAAATTGTACCAATGGACAAAATAGTCTTATTCTACAAACGAACATGATCTCTTGAAGCATCAATAGTCAATATGCAAAGATTTCATTACCAGCTGCAGCATTGAGCATAACAACAGCTCTAAGGTTTCATGAAACGACAATATACATAGCATAGCAATTATGTTGGAAAAGAAGCCTAAAGGAACATGAAACTTCAAAACTAATCAGGTAATTACCTCCGGGAACGTTTCTGCTTTACCTTCGTTAATAACTTCCACGTCTTCACTATCCAAGTCAGACAGAGGAATCAATCCAGGAACCAAAACTGGACTTTCTTCCTCAGTAAACATGGCTTCTTTGGTCACCTCTCGAGCAGTCAAAGCTCCATTCGAAGGTTCCACAGTTTTCTCACTTTGGATATCGAAACTTGAATTTTCCGCAGACTCATCACTTACATATCCCGCATTCTCTACAACTACTACTGAAGCTTTTTGTTGTGTAGTAACAAGCACTTCATCCTCTTCTTCTTCACTGTTTGATGAAATATTGGTGTAAGGCCTCGTACTTTGTTTTTGCTTTTCTTCTTGATTGAGTGGCACCAAATCTTCCTCAATCATCATTTGAAGATCAGCATTATCCCAGTCTTCACATATTCTGATAGTTTTGTTAGTTTCCCAAGTTTCAAGAGCCCGGTTCGGACCTGGTTGCCACAAAATCTCCCCTGTCTGTGCCTTTAGTATAAACTTGAATTCAACCAATCTTCCAACAGGCAAATCCTAAGCAGAAAGAAACCAACTTCAGAGTAAAGCTAACATATTTGACAAGAAATAGAAATTCCCCAAATGAAGCATACCAAATCTACAGTCCAAACATTGCCATCTGACCAGTTCAGTGGTAAAGCAGTTTCTGGATCCCAAAGGCCACCAAACACAGGATCATCACCAAGAATGAAAAAATGTTCCCCAAAGACACACTCTTTCCGCAACTGGAACCTTACACGAACCGTTTTTCTATGAGCTTCGATGTCTGAAGCTTCTACGTTTACCTATATATAAAAAGTATGAACAAAGATGAATCTTCGTCGTAAACAGAGCAAATAGGAATTACAGAGAAACACATACAAAGCAAAGGTGTGATTAATAACCTGAGAATCCTTAATCGACGAAGAACGAAGCGGAATTGGCTTAAGAATTCTGCTGCTGTGAGCAGAATCTAAACGCAAAAACTTGATGTGATGAAACGTTTTCCTGGTAACACAAGGGAAAATCTCTGTTCCATAGCGAGAAATTCCAGGAGGAAAATCTTCGAGAATGATCTTAGATGGAGAAGAAGAAGTTAGGGTTCCTCCAATGCCAATCATCTTCATCATCAGAAGAAGAAGAAGAGTTTTTGGTTTGTGTGAGTGGGAAGGGAGCAATGTACTGTGTGGAAAAGAAAGCAAAGCATAAGTCCACGTGGCAATTGTCTGAACATTGGAGTTCTCTTATACTCACAGGTCGGTGCTCACCCGCATTTATTTTATACCGTCCGATTTACGCGATTGTTTCCCACGTGTGATCGTAACTAACTCCTTGGTTTCTGCGTGACGGTCAAATCCTTAGGGGCATAAACGTCATTATCCATAAAATTCAATAAAAGCCCATGGGCCAAATTATGAATTATTGCCATTAATTTGTAACTTTGGTTGGAACTTAAAGTCTACTTATTATTCTTTAGAAAGTATTTTAGCTACACACAAATACACAATAAAACAACTCCACAAAGCTTATTGATGCAAATCTTTCATTAGCTTTAGAAACGTTGTCTATGTCAATGAACAGCCTTGGAAAGATCAGAGGAACAATACAAGTATACAACAAACTTGGACAGCTGCATAAATTGCATTACTCTAGTTGTTGTTGAGCTGATATTATCAATCAACAGAAATGAGATTAAAGTAATGTGATGCATAATTTAATTCTATATATACGGTGCTTTCAGTTGTCACGGTCAAAATGCTTACATAGCTTTGACAAGTCGTGTGGAGAAACTGATTTATGCATGGAACCAATCAAGTTTCGATTCAAAATAAACAAAGATAACCCAAATCATGCCTTATACACCCAATAATATACATACAATATTGTATACATTCATTACTAATTCAATTCATCATATTCAAAATTATAAATATTAATGTTATATTTGTGAAAACTGAATTTGGAGCCTAACCAAAATCATAATCATATCCAACCACCAATTCACACGTTTATATCTATTCGAGTTTTGGACCTCTCCTTTACATGTTTTCGTCGTTATTGCATATTTCAAATGTCTTTAATATTTAAATTTTCTTAGTCAACCGTATAATGGCAGCGTTATTCATTCAAAATAATATTAAAATCCAACAAACATTGTTTAAACAGTATTATAAAAAAGAACCCTCTCAAAGCTAGAAGATTGAAACACCTTGACAATATGGATTTCAATACACACACGTCTTTTTCAAAAATCATTTTGGCTCAACCAAATAATACATCAATTCGATATAAATCAGTATTTTTGAAAGAAAAAAAAAGGGTAAGGAGAAAAATACTTATCGAACTTTTGTTATTATGCTCCGTGTTAGCCAAAAAGTTGATAAATAAGGCAATAATAGATAACGTTAACAATAAAGTTTATGTAGTTTTCATATGAAACAGTTCTTGATAGTAGTACTGTTAGGGTATGACTAGATTAATTTTACAAAATAACTGATTAATATTAATTATATTCGGTGATATGTCAAAAATGTCTACGTCGAGTTCTTAACTTTTCAAAACTAGACAGCCCCCAAAGGCAAGAACATGGTCAAAACAAGTTAAACAAGAAATAAAACAGACAGAGAAAGAAACTCAAAAGTGGCTTCTTTCTCATCTATCTAAAGCTTTTCTCCTTCTCTTTTCTGGTTTCAAACTTCACAACATTTCAGTTCTGCCTTTATCATGGATCGTCATGATATAGAAAAGAGATTCACGGTGGTGATTGATAACAGACGACTAAACCAATCTGGATCATCATCACTTTTCACCGGCTTCGCGATCAGCTCTATAACTCTGATCGTGGTTACCACGTTTGCTCTAATGTCTAGTTTCTCGATGCAACCGCAAAGAGATTTCTCAGGGGTGAAGATAGATATCAAGAGAGTGATTCCACACTTACCTCTGAGCTCTGAGAAAGAAGGTGAAAGAAGTGATCTGCTCAAACAACAGACACAAGTAAACGAGAAGCTCCAAGTTATCGAGGTTTTTAGTGGAGATAACTTGTCTGACAAGTTTCAAAAGAGGGTAAATGAGTTTGTCGGTGATGGATGTGAAGTCAACTTTATCATGACATGGATATCACCAGCAGAGTTCTTCGGCAATAGAGAGCTTTTAGCTATTGAAAGTGTCTTTAAATCTCATCCTTATGGTTGCTTGATGATCTTATCCGCAACCATGGATTCTCCTCAAGGTTATACAGTTTTGAAACCGTTTCTTGATCGTGGTTACAAAGTTCTTGCAGTCACACCAGATTTACCTTTTCTACTCAAAGGAACCGCTGGTGAATCGTGGCTCGAGGAAATAAAGACCGGTAAAAGAGATCCCGGAAAGATTTCTTTAGCTCAGAATCTCTCAAATCTCATGAGGCTTGCTTACTTATACAAATATGGAGGTGTTTACTTAGACACAGACATGATTGTTCTAAAAAGCTTCAAAGGGCTTAGAAACGTGATTGGAGCACAAACACTTGATCCTTCATCGACAAATTGGACAAGATTGAACAACGCGGTGCTAATATTCGACAAGAACCATCCTCTGTTACTCAAATTCATAGAAGAATTCGCGAAAACTTTCAATGGAAACATATGGGGATACAACGGACCATACCTTGTTTCCCGAGTGGCTAGAGCTGTGGAAGGATCAAGTGGTTATAACTTCACCGTCATGCGACCATCTGTGTTCTATTCGGTAAACTGGCTCGAGATTAAGAAGTTGTTCAAAGTGGCTAAAACAGAGAAAGATTCGAAATGGGTCAAAATCAAGCTTCTTCATATGCGGAAGAGTGGCTATGGTTTGCATCTGTGGAATAAGTTTAGCAGGAAATATGAAATTGAACAAGGAAGTGCCATGTGGAAACTGGTTTCAGACCATTGCATTATCTGTGACATTGGTTCTGCTTCATAGTCTATTGTTTGAATTTGTTCCATTAATCCACATACTGTAGATAACTTGTTGTATATATATATAAGAATGAAAAACCTTCACGTTGATGAAAAAAAAAAAAAAAAAAAAAAAACCTTCACGTACAATAAGATATGAAGCCCACTATTTTGTTGGGTCTTTATTGGGCCTATATATAAGCCTTTTAGGTTTTACATTATTTTGTGAGTCGACGTAATGATAAAACTCTTTGTATTATTGTCCTTTTTTTTTTTTTTTTTTTTTGCCATCAAAAGAGAATCTTTGTACTATTGTCCTCGGAGTCAAATATTACAGATTGGCTGATTGATTAAAAATGATAACAATTTTGTCATCATCTAGTTGTTTTCTACCAGTTAGGAAGAGATATTAGTCTGTCATAAAACTGAAGATTGGCACGTGACAACACACAACAGCAGGGCCGGCCCAAAGATTCATGATGCCTAAAGCCCAACCAAATTTGATGCCCATTTACAACAACTAAAAATAAAAAAATGTTAAAATTAACGGTTGCCAGGGATCGAACCCTGGACCATCTATTTTTAAGTGTCCTAAATACCACTAGACTACAAGACACTTTTGTAATTTTGATGCCCTTTAAAATACATATAAAATTTGATGCCTAAAGCATCTGCTTGCTGGGCTTTAGGTCTGGGCCGGCCCTGCACAACAGCACCAGCTCCCTAATCACGTGACTTTAAGGAAATTTTGAAATATCTATAGCATATGATTAAATCGCTGAATTACAGATATTTTCTTTCATACAAAAGGGGAAAAAAGGGTTCAATCACACTTTCACACGTCACTAGCGGCGGCTTAGGTTAACGGCCGTGGTGAGGTCCGGCGGCGATTGGAGCTGGTGGCGGTTTGCATTGATAGCATTTGGCGAAGAGACCAAAAGTATCAATTTGCCTGATGAAGTTGGTCATGCTGGCCCATCCGCCAAACCCGAACCCGAGAACTAGGACCCAAACCACTATGAAAGCGTTTATTACGTAAACTCCGGCCCAGCTAGGGATAAAGAACGGCGGTTTCTCCGCCGCGTTCTGTCACGTCGTCACCACGTTTAAAGAAAAAAAGCAAATCAATACATCGTATAATTTGCATGAACTAATCTACTTATTTTAATCATCAACGAGAATATATGTTTTAGACATTTATAAACTAGTCAAGTGATAATAATGGACACATTATATACTATGGACCTACTTCATTGATTTGGGATTGAATGCAAAAGTATAAGCCAGCTCATAATAACTCAACGTATGTTATATCTCAATCTCTCTCCTCCAATATTTTTTTTTTTCAAAACTATCTATCCAAATGAAATAAATGTATGTCATCTACTGAATTCATAAAATCTTTAGTATAGCTTAGGAATGGTAATGTGAGACTGAGAGGAGAGGAATATAGATAGTACCCGGCGGGCAGAGGCGGTGCGGTAGGTGAGCATGTGGGCTAAGGCAGGGATAATGTAGACGGTGAAGCTAACTAGTAAGGCTCCAACTGCCGAGTTTATTGGCCCGAAAAACGGAAAAATGATGGCCAAAAACCATATCGGAACCACCACCGGTAGCCTCACCAGCGCTCTTAGACATAAGCTCTTCGTGTGGTGCATTCCGATCGCTTTTTCCCATACGAAGTACAATGGTGTACACGCAAATCCGAACGTTATAAACTGCAAAGTTGAATCCAAAACAAAAGTTTTGAGAAAGAGTATATGTCTAATCCGATAACATTTTCTTCTACATAATATTCGTCTAGATGTTAATACTTAATAGGCGAGAAATATCTTGTTATAATCAATTTAGTTAACTAGTTAGACGTATTTATCAATGTCATAACCTATAACATGATTCCTTATAGTATTAATTTCATTGCGAAAAAGAATAATGTTCTTAGTATGGACCGGTACCGTATAAATAATAGCATGTACTTGGACCAATCATTAATGCATTGTGTAATTATTGTGAGCCATGTAACATATTGAGTAAAGATGATAGGAACCTGATGGATGAGCATGAGGATAACGGCGGTGTCACGGAAACGCGTTTTAGGGAGGAGAGAGAAAGCGTTTGAGTGGTTGAGAAGTTGGTCGCCGAAAGCCCAGTAGACGGCGGAGGCTGACGGAAGCGTTAATGTGAAGACGTACAGAGTCGCCATCAAGTAGATGCTCTTAAACTTCCTTGGTTTCCACATCGCATGCATTATTTCTCTGCGATTTTAAAACTCTATAAATAAAATGTAAAAGCCTTTTACAGTGGATTTATGGGTCCGACCAGAGATTGGCCGTCCGGTCTGACCACTGTGGTTGCGTTACGTACTCTCAAAGATAAGATAGATATTGTGAGTAAAAAATTATAAATAAAAAAAGAATGGTAAGGAATTTACTTCAATAGCTACTAGCTAGTGTGTTAAAAAGGTAAATAGGAGTTTTCTGGTAAAATTGTCTTTATTTATTCCGTAATAATGATTTTGTCTCTTTGTGCGTTTAGGACAGAACCAAAGTAACCGGCAAAAGCTGCATATATAGAAGCTAAAAGAGATGAGTCTTTAAAAAAGAAGAAACATGATCTTCAGGGATTTTTCTTTTTTTTTTTTTTGAATATTTGCAACAAAACAAATGTTGTATGTCAAGAATAAATTAGAACCTATATCCAAAAACAATTTGTTAGGAATGGATCACTATTCATAAATCATAACCTATATATAATTTTTAAGAATTGTTTTTTCCTTTTCTGGCCATTTTTCTAATTGTTGCGGATTATACAATTATTTGACAATGCATGAGAAAAATAAAAAAGACTTACACGGTCACGGCGTGTCCGCCGAAGGTATAGAGGATATTGGTGGCTCCGGTGAAGTACAATACAAGCTTAGTCGGACCGGAATGTGTCACACCCTCCGCCTACAAGAATTGTTACGTTGTTTTTTTTTTTCATTTCAAATTGAAAAGCGATGATTTGATGGTGTGACATACCTGACCATGGAGAAATGCGGCGATGGTGAGGTACCAAGCGGTATAGGTGGTCATGCCAAGGCCGAGGAAAGACCAAATACGATAATTGTGGAAAGATGGTATGAACACGGTCGTGGCACAACAAGCACCAAATATATAAGTCCATGTCCTCTTGTCTAACCTATCGTTTATGTAATATATATTGCTGTAACACACCAACAACACACACATGAATCATCATGTTATTTGGCATTTAAATATCTATTTAATTTGTCCCTATATCGATATACTATTAAAAAGATTGGTAAAAAATAAAGTGGGAAAAAAAGGAAGAAGTACCTAGCACAAGCAATGAGCTGGATGACTGATCCGAATAACAAGAAGGTGCAATTGAATGCGAGCCCCGCTGCTTTCCAGTACGGACCCAGCAGCCCATCAAGCACTTCAAACCACTTCCCATTTTTTATTTTTATTTTTGTTATGAAGCAAACATGCAATTTCAATTCAGTATATACATAAAGATTAGAATCAAATATATCTCTAAACTAAAATAAGACAGAAATTACTTGAATAACGTGGTTTTTGAAGGATTTGGCCTCTTGTTTCTCCATACGGGCACGATATTCGACGTAAAGAACACTGATGAGATAAGCAGTCCAAGATCCCATTAATCCATAGAATATTTGAAGCAATATTCCTGATAACATTCCCAACTGCGAGAACGAATACGGCAGCGTCAACAGCACTTGTGCCACCTGCAAATTTATTTCAAGAATGTTTCATATATGAAATAAATAAATAAAAAAAACTTTAGGACAAACAAAAAGAAAAGAGTAATTTGGTCTTATTATAATAAAGAAACCCTTTGTTCGATATTACTAAATAAACAATTCATTATAAAAATTAAATTGTACTTACTTGATTTGATGCACAGCTAAACCAGGCGTCCCAAGCGGACCCGCCATGCCAGAGGAAGCTCTTCATACTAAATCCATCGCCGCCGTTGCCGTCAATATCCTCCTCCGCCGCTGAATCTTCCACTTTTCTACCGGCTACCTCATCCTCCCCGGAGACCACTATTGCCTCCTCCACTTGTTTCTCACCCGACATTAGCTATATATATATATTTGTACGGTAAACAAAGAAAATTATGTCTCGGAAATTATATAAAACAAACAAATAATTGAAAAGTTAATTTTTTCTTGGTTTGAAAAGAGAGATTCTTTAGAAGAAAGAAAGAAAGGTTGTCTTCAAGCTCTTACCTTTTTTCCTTTTAGTCTGAGAAGAAGAAACACAGAGAGTACTTTAGGTCTCGTTCTCCACTCTCCGAAGCAGAGCACAGTATCAAAAGACAACCACAAAGACAGAGAGTAAATGGAAGAGAGAGAGAGAGAGAATGAAGAAGACCTCTGGAATGGTAAGTGAGTAGGAGTGTGCTACTGTAATAACGAAGTCTACTTAGAAAAATGCTCTGTTTTTTAACTTTTAATGCGGCCGCCTTTGTTATAAGTAAATGTTCAGATGAAAGAGAAAGAGAAAGAGAGAGCATAAAAGCAGGAAGCTTTTTCTTCTTCTTTTTACCTGCCTTCTCTACGATTCCCATCATTTATTTTTCTACTGTTTTTTAAAAAAAATTGGATATAATTCGAAATCTGGGCAAAAAATCCAGACAAGAAAACTCGAACTGAAACCGACCAAAAAATAGGTCCGGAACGGGTATGGCTATTAGCTATTTATCCTATTGGATCTTGTATTGTCGTACCCGTAGATATAGGGTAAAATCTGATCCGAACCCGATATTCGAACGGGTACCCGATTACCCGAAATTACATATAAAATTTTAAATATATCTAATATTTCAGTTAAATATATTTATATCCAAATATCCGAGAGTAATTATCAAAAAATAAATACATTTATATTTAAATACTTAAGACTAAATATATTTATACACGAGATATTTGTAAGTTTTTCGGATGTTTAGATAAAATTGTGGTTATTCGAGTAAAATTTCGGGTAAAAATTTGAATATTAGGATAAAATTTCGGATAAAAATCGGATATTCGGATAAAAATTTTAGGTATTTGGGCAACTTTTTCGGGTATTAGGGTATAATCGAGTATAATTTATCCGAACCCGACGGGTACCCAATTTTTTGGGTATTTAGTGGTTCTAAAATTCTAAACCCGAACCCGATTGGACCTGAACCGAAACCGAACCGATATTTTAAATTTATCCTATTGGGTCCTAAACTCCTCTACCTGAAGAACCCGAATCCGATCGGGTTTTACCTAAACCCGACCCGCGTACCCGAATGTCCAGCCCTAATTGGAATAAACAACATCTATGATTTCTGTTTAAGAATATGCGCAACTACGAAATGATGATGTAATTTTAGGATTTTTTAATAGCTTTTATAGATCACAGATTTTAATGAAATTGTAACTAATGAGAAAACAATATGTTACACTCTAATTAAATTAAGTGTATTTTACTTTGTGGGTTTACCATTTTGTTTTGTTACATACTCTCCCTCTGTATCTTAAAAATTGATGTTTTAAAGTTTTCACGTATATTAAAAAACAATTATTGTATAATTATTTGTCAATTACTTTTTTATATCATATTTTTTAATAAGTTTGAACCAATAGTAATATAGAACAGTTAATCATTGCGCCTTGAAGTTTACGATATATTAATATCAATTAATAAAAAATAAAACAAAAATCTAGAAAATCAATCTTTGTGGAACAAATTAAAAAGCTAGAACATCAATATTTTAGGAACATGAAGAGTACGAGTTACGATGGACACAAAATATATAATTTGTTACATTCACAGTATGTATTTTGATTATGTACATTATTAATACATAAAACCAAAGCTCATAGGTTAATGTTTCTTACAGTTTTTAGTGTACATTTGTTTTGTTTCTGTTTGTAATTTTCTCAGTGCACGCACATTGTTCTTTCTTTCGATATCATATTTTTACATAAAAAAAGTTTTTCTTATTCCCTAAATAAAAGAAACAACAGTGAAAACGGAAGAGATGAGACTGAGAGTGACAGTGTAATTATAACGTCGGCTTGAGCCGAGCCATTTTGTGGGAATTAAACCTTCACGCGTTTAAAGCAAACCCCACGCGCGTCATCAAGCCATTGACCCTACGCGTTAATGTTCCTCTACGCGTGATTCCATTTATTCTCTGTGCACTCGCCATCTCCGTACCGTCGGATTGTCCTACAATCACAATCATCTTTCCATTACTTGGTCTAAAATCTAAATTTATAAGAAAAGTTGTGACTTTTGTATTCTTTGATTCGATTACTGAATTGATTAAGACTGAACTGGATACAAAAGAACATGTTTATTCAGTGTCGTCATGGTTACGAATGTATTATGTATGAACCATTTTTGCATAATTACATTAGCAAAAAGAAATTAAACACTTTATATATGGGCTTTAGACCTTTAGTGCGTTTTAGCAATACAGAACTCGTAAAGGACTTTGATGCCTTTGGGTCTTTTCAAATGGACCGAGACTTGTGGAAGCAGCTTTCCAGTTCTGATCCCTCTTGACTTGATTCTTCGACTCAACTAGATTTTATTTCTATCTTACTTGAAAGTTACTATTTGATCGGAAGTAGCATATTTTTCACACGTAATATGATATGAATATTTTTGAACTCAATCATTTCTATTAGAATTTAATATTTACAATTGAGAATTAGTATTAATTATAACATTTTGATCGTAGTACAAATGATTTGCTTTTCACACTTTTTTAAGGAATAATTTTTATATAGTTTAGCGAATTTTTTTTCCTTTCAAAACTTCTGTACATAGTGGGGAAATTACATAGTCATAGTGGTCACCATTTAGAACCATAAATCCATGATAAATATTGAAAATTATTTAAGCAATGATAAAACAAAGAAGATATTGATAGAAAAAAGTGGGTGGGAGACAAGACAAACGTCTAAGGGATATATATAGATAGTTGTGTGAACTGTGAAGTGAAACCATTACATGAGATCGACCGACCATTCATATTGTTGCCATATCAATTCACTGAAAGGAATCTATTTCTTCATTATTACTTTCAAAGATTTTATGCATGCTCTTTATCAAAAAAAAAAAAAAAAAAAAAAAAAAAAAAAAAAAAAAATTATGTATGCTCACTCCAAAACCGAGATCTCATCAAATTAACATCTTCATAAAAATTTATGTGTTTTTGGAAATTGGTTTGGACAAAGGTCCCTTAGCATTAGAAATTGATTACTCAGACTAGCTAGTCGTGCTTCGCCCACAGCTTGAACTTGCAAAAGAAATGAACAAACCAGTAGCAGTTCATTGCATCGATGCATTCGATGATCTCCTAGAGATAATGAGGTATGTATATATACATATCTACATGTTGCACTAAGTTTCTCGAAATAAATACACGCAGATCCATAGGGCCTTTTCCTGGTGGTGTGATTCTTCATTCATTCAATGGTTCAGCTGAAGGTGTTCCTAAACTCAATGAGCTTGGTGCATACTTGTCTTTCTCTGGCTGGTTCACTTACATTGATGAGAAAATTGGGAAGAAGGCTTTGAAATTGGTTTGTGATCAAAGAGACAAAAGAACAATCGTCTTCTGCTTCTGCTGTTATGTATTATTACTTGGACAAGAAAAACTCATTCAATACCAAAATTATGTTGTTTTTTGTTGCTTACTTGGTAGAAGTTGTAACTATGTATCTTATTCTTATTGTCTTGTGTAAACGTTATGTTGTTTGATTTTTTTCGATATTTTACATTTTCTCTTATAAATCCCCTTTCTGAGGAGAGATTTGTTTTGCATACTTGTGTGATTTACAATAAATCAGATCAACCGAAGAACAGAACTAAACACTAACACTCTAAACAAGACCACGTCTCCAACAAGAGACATCAAGCGCCACACACACACACACGGAATCTCGTATAAGAAGAAGCAATGCCAATCCTTCCACTGCATTATTAGTTTTACCTGAAACTGATTTAGTCAATAACATTAAGATATCAAGCAACCAATAAACGGACTAACGAGTTTGCAAGAGAGAAGACAACAAAAAGAAATGATGAAATGTCTGAGAATCTCCCAACATATGCCATATTCAAAAATATGTTATCCTCATCCACACGAGACTGCAAACATATAAGATTGGTGTTTCAATGCAGCAGTTTAAGGTACTCGAGCTCAAGGCTTTGTTGTTGCTTGTAAAGGGACTATGTGCTCCTGCTCTCTTGTTGTGATCTCAGAACCAGACTGCTTCACTCTGGACACATTGAGCACAACATTGGTAGGTTGTTGATGTCAACGTGTGTTGTATCAGTCAAGTCCTCAGAATCTAGCTTCTGCTCCACAAACCAAGATTGCATGTTGCAAACATGTTAGGAACAGACACTGTTTTGTATACAAAGAAACCATTTAGAATAAAATTAGGAATTGATCATCATTCATGTTCTCTCTTATTTTACCTTTTGATATATAATTTTTGAGCGCAAAAGAAAAGATGATTTTTTGTAAACGTTAAATAAAAAAAAAAGGAAAAAGTCATCGAGAAAAAGGAAACAACCAAAACGAAATTTCCTTTTTGGTTAGATCGATATTAGTAAATTTAGCAAAAAAAAAAAAAGATCGATATTAGTAAATGGAAATCGGATCTAATTTAGATTTTCTCTAAAATACTGAAAATCCCAACGGTTAGAATAATAAAAGTATATAAATAATCCCAACGGTTAGATTAATAAGCAAAGTAGGTTCTAGGTTTATTTCCTTTTTTTCTTTAAGAGTATCATTGCTTATAAATACACATTCTCTTCTTCTCCATTCATGAGAAATCAAAATTCTCTTCTTCTTCTTCGAGAAACGAAAGACAAAATCTATCATCTTTCTCTTCTATTTCTCTTTTTAAGATCACTCGACATCTCAGATTCGTGACTGATTGAATAACTTCTCCCACACGCTCTCTGTCTTGACCCAATCGAGGATGATGTCAGAACCTAATTTCACCGGTGGAGAAGGAAGAGATCGGAGGCAGTGAAAGCGAGGAGCACCTAAGAAGGTTTTGATTAGACCATTCTCTCGATGCAGAAGAAGAAATTGAGATTCCGAGGTCGACCTAGGAGGAACTCTAACATGAGGAAGAACGACGACTGCTCTGCTCTTTGTGAGAACAACAAACCAGTAAAAGAATCCGCATGGACCTTGATGAGACGTACGTACGTAGGGTTTGGGGAAGAGTGGTTCTGGAGATGGACGAAGAGATGAGAGTGAAGCCGATCAACTTTTCATCAAAGACAAACCAAAGTTCTCAGATTTTCCAAGCGGTGGATTCGGATGTCATCAACGACACAACTACACGGTGGGCTCACACTTCGAATGGGCTTTTTGTATGGGCTACCAAATCCAGGTATTACTTTCTTCATTCTTATTTTTTGTTTGTTTTCTTTAAAAATTATTTTAAGTAAAACTAAAATTAAATAGTTTAAAACTTTCACTAAAACATTTAAATAAAAAAAACTTTTTAATTTTTTAAATTAGG